AGTCAATTCAGAATTGGCTGACAGGAAATCTTCCATGACTCCCACTTCATGGGAAAACGTTGAACTCCGGGGCATGAAGCACATGACAACTTCCCAAATCTGCTCCTCTTACAACATCCTGCGTCTTTATGTCATCCCTCCCTCACAAGTTTCCATCCCACCTGCAGCTACGTACACTTTGCTGAGCTGAGGCACGTAGTGATCAGTCCACAGGGTAGCCTTAGCGTTCGCTGCAGAGCACTGCGCTCTCAGGCTTTTACACATGCTGTGTTTGGCAACAGACATTGCACAAACACTCATATACCCAAACGTGCACACAGTGTTGTATAAAGTACTGCAAAGTGATACTTGAGTAAAGTAGCTTACCAAAAGATTTCTTTGGTAAAAGTGAAAGTCTCCTTTAGATATATTATTTGAGTAAAAGTCTTAAAGTATCTGATATTATTTGTAGTTAAGTATTAAAAGAAAAAGCATTGATTTAAAATGAGCAGTTAGATTTTCTGTAATGATATTTATTGGAAGGTGACCTCCCCAAAAAACTGCAGAAATGACTGTTGTATTAAAATAATTAATTTATGTTAAATTTAGGATGCACTAGTGCAGCTGTTTCAGTTTATATACATATATCAAGGCTGCACAAACCTTTTCTCCAGAATGAAAATCTACCTGAGGGCTGCAGCCGAATGCAATAATATACAGTAATTCATGAAATACAAATACAATAACAAGCTGGAATGAAAACAAGCAAAAATGAACTAAAATAATGACTTTCTACTTCTTGCCTTCATTTTAAATGTAAGAAGCAGAAGTAAAAAATAGTTCGAAAAATAATTACTCAAGTAAAGTACAGATACCCAAAAATTCTACTTAAGTACAGTAACAAAGTATTTGTACTTAGTTACTTTACAACTCTGCGTGCACAGCAGTGATTGTAACCCACACTTTGTTTGACAATAACACAGCTGCTGAACAGGTTTAGATAGCACAAATCATTCTTAAGAGCTAGTCATCAAGCACAAGCCTACTAAATGTGTGAGGTGTCTAAAGTTTTTCTGCTTCACTAAGGCGTCTCTTTCTGTGCTCATCTTGATTAAAGGAGCACAGCATGTCTCGTCCAAATCATTCACCGTGTCACCAAAGTTCTGTTAGGATCTGTTCTGTTAGTCTTTGAGCCCTCTGTGTTCTTTGTCAGTGGCCTTGCTAACAGAGCTGGGACAGGTAAGGTGATCCATGGGAAAGTACAGTTTCTCTATTGGATCAGATCCCCCCAAAGGGAAATAGGCAGAATACGGTCTTTATGTTGCTGCAGTAAAATACAAAACGGAACTGAGATTTCTAATCACTTGAAATAAACTGGTTGGTTTGTTTCTTTTGCACAAGCAGTGTGTTAATTTATTTGCAATGAAATGCAGGTTAGATATACTCACGTAAAACAAAAAAGTTAAATACCCCAACACAGTACGAATGAAATGAACCTGTATGGGCTGTTTGGTGATGTAACTTTACCCAATCAAATAAATAAAGACGTCAGTTCAAGTAAACTGGCTTCATTATTAGGGGTGTGTTAGCGCCTCAGGTCTGGAAACAAGCAGTGATATGATGAGAAACTGAGCTGACAAGAGCTGTAACCAACAGATCAGGTATGGCAGATCAGCACTGGGTCAGAAGTTGGACGACCTGCTGGCCACAAGAGGACTTGGCCAATAGACATGTTTGGACAGTGGTGTTGTGTTGTTTCCAGAGTTCTGTCTCAGAAAGGGTAAGGATGTTTCTGATGTATCATTGTACCATCAGGGTTTTCTAAACCACTACCAGAGTTGACCTAAAGTCGGACCTAATGGTTCTCCAAATCATGAAGCATGGGAAACCCACAGTCCAGCTGTTGCCAGTCCTCTAGACATGATGTGAACTGGGACGTGGTGGTAATTAATCACATACCTGTGACTGGGTGGCAGCTGACATCAGGAGGTCCAATAACGCTTAGGTCACAAAATGACCATCAACTTTTGGTGTGGTTTGTCCTGGGCAACTAAAACCTTCATGGCTTTAAAGATACTAACCTCCTTTTGGATCTCTGTCCTTCCATTCCCCTTTATGTTTTATTTTAAAGGGACAAGTGTCAAGTCTGAACAAAACCATAAACTAAAACATTTACAGTCTTGGCTAACTGGAAATGTCAGCCCCTAGATGGGCTTTTAGCAACTTAAAAGTAAAACAGTTCTTAAAATGAACTTAGTGGTAGTTATTCACAGTTACAAACTTGGTTCTCCTTCAGAAAACGGTTCAGTTTTGATCTAAAATGTTTCCAGTCAGAAATCAGTTTCTTGTTTGCAAACTCAAAACCCAAAGAAAGTTTACACAAAGGAAGCCTACAGTCACTACAGTCTGCTCCATGTTATTGACCCAGTAGGTCTAAAATGATCAGATTCCTGTACAGTTGTTAGATTGGGGATTTTGGCAAAGTTTTCAAAATTCATCATGTTACGTTTCTTAAGAAAATGACAGTGATGTGATCTGATGTGTTTTCTGTTCAAGATTAGCTCTGTTTTGAAATCACTCCTTTAGGTAGTGCTGTACCTTATCTGTACTGCAATGAGGAGCTGTATACTTCATATATTAACTGTGTTGAAACATGGATTTCTGCAACTTTGTTTTCCTCCTGTTGGTCTCAGCTTTGCCACATTTCTGCCTTCAGATTTTAAATCCTTCACGATTCGCTCTACAGGCAGACTTTGTCATAGACCAACAGCTGTATTTCTACATATTTCCAGGAATTTGCAACAAACCAGTGACTCTGCTCCAGCTGGGTTGCAGCAGACCCGTTCCCTTTACTGAAAGGAGATAAAAGGGGAACGGGCGACCCACAGAACCTGAAAGCCACATTTTCAGGTGGAGCAGCATCCTGACTCTGATTGGATGTTTGCAATAGTAATTATGTTGTAAATGTAGACATATGATTCCTCTTTAGTACCACCATTTATTCAGTAAGTATCAGCTCAAAATGGGTGTTGTGAAACTAAAATATTGTTAAATGGCACATTAATTTTTCTTAAGTTTAACCAAACTCAAATTTATAAGCATATGATAAAGTGTAAATAAAATTCCTTCAAGACATTTGGGTCTTTATTTGTTTATGTTTAAGTGATTTTGAAATATTTGCATAAATTACACACAAAAATAAATAAAAACACATAAAACCTAGACTTTTAACTTTCATAGTTTGTTAAATGTTTTTGTCCGTTTTTTTCCGAAGGGCCTGGCTGAATTTACCAACACAACTTTATTGGCTTTATCTAATCTGAAAGTAAGTTTACACACATTGATTTGTCTGTTAACTGACACCATGGTCTGAACCTGACTGTACAGTTGGCGAGGTCAGGGTTCAACAATGCGAATGCCCTTCTTCAGTGCTGTGTGAGTAAACAAACATGGCAGATATGCATATTTGAGCTGCTGTGAGCTCTGTGACCTTCTTTTTTTTTACTGAAATACTTCATGTGTGATGTGCCAAAAGTCAACGGTGCAAATACCTATACATTGCCTGTGATCCAGCGGCTCCTTCTCCGCGCACAGACGAGTATTCAAACTGGTGGCAGTGTGTACACAGCATCTGTATATTGCAGGTTTTACAGAAAGTGTGCTCAGCTAAACTGGGGAATGTACACAGCGGGACAGTTTGAGTAGAAATAGCTTCGCCAATAGAGATCCGAGTCAGACAAAAACCCACGAGCTCATTTCCGAGACATGACTTCCACCACATATGATGAAATGTGTGTGTGCCCTCATTTAGCTGCCAGGCCATGCGTGTGTGTGTGTGTAAAAAGACATCAAAGCTTTGGCTTCATGGTCACTTTAAGAAGACACCTGTGTACAGGAAGTTCACGACAGAGAATGACAGTTTAATGATAAAATGATCACAGGTATAAACACAGAAAACCACACATTTTGCCATAACATTTAGTGAATGTGTACAAAATACAACAAATAAAAGTAGTACACAGACTGAGGTGTAGCCATTTCAGTGGTTTGTTTGAAGGTCTGTTGGCTTGAGTCGACCTCAAAGTTAATTTATTCATATTTATTAAATCTGAAAAGATCAGCAGAACAAGATATAATTACTAGCTAAAATATATTAATCATTTTTGTTTTATTTAATCGGAAACATTTAATTAAAAACTATAATCATGAAAAAAAGAACAAGCCAAAATTAGCTTGTAAAATACAAAGAGGATCACTGTGATTTTGAAACACCTCTAATGTAAACACTGTCATTTAAACTTTTCTATCACCATTCCCTTTGTGTTACATTATTATTGCAGCAGAACTGTTATTGAAATACCTTCAGAAATTGTTCCAAGGCTGCACTGAACCTGCTGCTGTACTCGCTCTTGCAAATACCAACACAATGTAAACAATCACGTGTCGCAAAAATGACAATGGCACAACTGCTCACATGAAATACAACGAAAAGTACGAGATCACATGCATTTGAAAATGGCAGGAATCCACTTTGCTCTTATCTGCTGTTGGGCCACTGTAAGCACGTGAGAATGAGTCCGTTCAAAAAACTATCTGCAGCAGGTAAGATATTCTTTGCTACTTTTTACACAATGCATCATTTACAAAGACTGGGATATTCTTTTAATCATTAAGTCAAGTAACTTTTGTCTATTTTAAGGTTGTCATTCAAATATTTAGAAGAAAAATAATAATCATTAAAACAAAAGAAAAATGTGTTCTTAGTAGCTATCACAGTTCAAACTGATTTTTGACAGAGCAGTTTGTTTGTTTACACACCACACTGACACCATTACTATGTTAATCTTGAATAGTGTGAAACACGTTGATAAAACCTGGGGTTTCTGCAGAAAACATGCAGTCTTATCGTCATTTGGCAGAACAATCTCCCAGCTGAGGGGCGGGGCTTAACGTGATGTGAATGGCACGTTTTTCACGGGGGGGCGGGGCCAAGGGAAGTGGGCTCTAAAAATTACTACAACCCGCCCAGCATCCTCTCAGTTTTCAAACACTGCTTACCGAGACAAAAATACGGCGTCTGGTTGCTCTGACCTTATCGGGAAAACCTGCTTCAGATATTTTTCTTTTGTTGTTATTTTTGTGTGTTTAATTTTGAGCCAACTTCAACCAACTAGAGCACTTGAAAGCTCTGCTATGGCAAAGGGAGAAGGAGCTGAACAATACTCCAACGCCAGTTTGTTGAACAAATCGGACAGCACGGATGGGTTTAAGCTAGCAAGAAAGGTGAGTTTGACTGGAAATGTATATAAAAGGGGATTCAGATGTGTTTTTCATGTTTGTATCTTTTCGTCGCACCAGAAAGACAACAAATCATGTCCTGATGGGAGTGAACACTGAACATTTGAATGAATGGACACGGCCGGTGAACTGACAGTAAATCGTTAGCTTGAGAGGGCGCGACACTGTCCTTTTTTAAACTTTCTCACGTCGGCGGAACGAGATATGTCTTTAATGTGAAACCGAAATATCAATAAATGAATGAAATTTTCTGTATAAATAATAAGCTGGAAGGAATATGAATATTTTTATTCAATAAATCGATTTTTATTCGCGCACCCATCTGTCATTACGGTCCTCATGTGGCTGGCGCAGCTCAAAAATCATAATTTCCATAAAGGTGTTCGTTTCTTAAATTATTATATGAATTCCTTTCAATTGCATCACTCAAACTATGAATTTGTTGTAAAATATCGTCGAGTAATTTGAAAAATTCACACGGGTTTCAGCGCGTGCCTGTTTTTTTTTAAGGTATCAATATGTTGCGTTTACGGACCCGTGAGAAGTCCCGACATTTGAGGACTCCCCGTACTCACCCACTGTTTGCGTTTGTTTTGAATACAAACATCAGATGCCAAATGATACGTGTTTTTTTTCTAGCGTAGTCATCGAAATAATTAAATTAAATTTAGGAGAGGTGGACATTTAGCCGGTGTCGGCTCATCACAAAAGAGAAGGGGTGTGAAGAAATGTGCATGTTTGTTTCCTCTGTCGTCATGTCTTTTCCACGCCGCCCGTGTTCTCCAGAAGCACCTCGTCATTGAACAGCCAAACCCTTTCTCCGTATTTCCGACGGCACGGGAATGCAGCAGGAAGCAGGCTGACGTGTCAGATAAGGATGGAGGATGAAAAGCATTCCCTTGTAGACTCCCATCCAAAATAAGCAGACCTGTCATCTCCAAGTTAGTCCTGATGACTCAGAAAATAACGAACCAAACATCTGTTTGTGTATACTATCCCTCTTATCAGATTACAGTAGTAATATATGACTGATAGCTCTGATAGGTGAACTGTATATAAGTCTGTAAACTGATAGGAAAAGTTGACATTAGGCTCTGTGTCAGCTGTAGTTTTCACACTAGTTTTATTTTCTTTAAAATGCATAATCTAACGGAAGAGGGGCAGATTCATATCATCAGTGCCTAACAATGTGCTGCATTCTTGTATCAGTACAAAGCAGATGTGTGTGTTTGCAGGAGGATGCACAGCCTTATGCGTACTTGTAGAATGAGCGTAGAGAAACTTTGACAAAAAAAAAAGACCAGTATGTGCTTCAGATATCAGATGTTTGTAGCAGTAATTGTGTTCAGAGTTTCCCCTTTTGTTGTCATGATGACGCTCTCATTTCAGCAGTTTGTCACCGAAACAAAATCTGAGTTAGTTGCATCAACAAGACCGAGGCTGGTTTGTTAAATTGTAGCCACACTGGTTTTAAGGTGAGGCTTTTTTTTTTTTGCATAAATATGCAACATGTGTGGCAGGATGAAACGTGCCTGTGGATGAAAGTCATTTTCATAAACTCATCTCTTGCAGGTTTTTTGTGTGCTTCTATTAACAGTAGGCTATTTTCTCCAGAACCTGACCTGCTAAATGAAGGGCAGATAGGGTGATGAGGTTCACCGAGCTCTGATTGGTTAGGAGAAAGGTGTGTGTTGATTTTTTTTTTCTTTCTGTGGCACTGGCAGTCGCCCCATTCGGGGTATTAAGTCAGATCAGGCTGCTGCCAAGGTGCGGTCACCCTCACAGCTTTTGGTGCGAGTGATGACATGGTGCTGTCATGTCCCTGGCACTAATGGATGCATTGGCGTTGCCATTAGATCAGCTGTTTCTAGTCTGAAGGTTGAGGTAATAAATACAGTGACAGTGGGAGAATATGGGAAGAATCGGTGCTTGTTAGAGAACCAAGGCGTTCTTGTTTCCTTGTGGTCGCCTCTGTTTTCTGCCAAATGCACACACACACACGAGGGTTACAGTTTATGCCAGCTGGGACTCTTGGACTGCTCAGACTCTGTAGCTGTTCGGAATTTAGGGTAAATTTCCTGTTGAGGCTTTCATGGGGAACTAATCTGACTAATTAGAGAGTGGCAAATATTAGAGTTCAGACAGAATTAGAGGGAACAGGCTTCTGAAATGGACCTGTATGTTTCAGTCACTGTAAGGATGAGGAGGCTGTCATCTTAACACATTTGACCGAAGTTTAGCTCTACTAATGAGTATTTGGCTTTGATAACTCTTAATGAATGCCTTCTTCTGAAGCAATTTCATGCACGAACATTCAGTGTCTAAAGTCAACACGTTTTGATCAAGTTTCTTTGTTTTTATTGCCTTTTTTCCTCCCCAGCATGAGCACAAGTTGTCCGTCTGGAACAAGGTATGCTACGCAATCGGCGGCGCACCCTATCAGGTGACAGGATGTGCCCTGGGCTTCTTTCTCCAGCTCTATCTGCTTGATGTAGCTCAGGTGAGTCACTTCATACCCTCACGGTCACACCTGTTTAGCACCACCTTCATAACGAAGTATAGCCCCTCCTCCTGTCTTTAAATGACCACCATCCTTGGAATAGGAACATAATGCACCTGTAGAGCTGCTTCTCGATTTACAGACTTGAGGGATCTGCTAATATTATCTTTAAGTATCACCAACAAAAGGGCACATACAGAAAACTGTGCGCATGTGGGAGGTGATGTCCTGGAAAATTGAGGTGATGGAAAAAAAGTTTCTCCCCCGCTTGCGTTAGCGACTCCCTGATAAGACCCTACTGTATCCAAGGGCTTAACGAGGCTTGTTCTATAAATATTTGGGAGGGGGAACAATGGCAGCACAACAAGGAGGGGGTCTCGCTTTAATTGGCTCTGACAGTAATCCCATGGCCGGGGCCACAGTAAGTCAAAAGCGTGGCAGAGTTTTGTTTTGTTGGGTGTCCAGCGCTGTTCATAACCGGCCCTTTGGATGACGCAGCGTGGTGCCAATTGTACAGTCAGGACTCGGGCATTCATGGTGGCTGGCCTCCCGTTAGGCTGGCCGGCCTCGGCACAGATTACCATCGGACAGGCTGCCAAGTGGCACCTTCACTTTTTGGCTCCATTATTGCTGAGAGCTGCCCTTTTGTTTGGTGACTTTTAAGCTGTAAAGTTTGTGTTTGATTGCTTTTACTGTTCAACAGTGACACTATGTGGCCTGTACTTTGTCAACTACTTGTAATGTTTACCTTGTTTTCTGTGCTTGTATACTTTTACAACAAGTTTATTGACAGATGTGACTGTTTTCTTCTCCCTCAGCTGGATCCTTTCCTTGCCTCCATCGTCTTGTTTGCTGGCCGGGCTTGGGACGCCGTAACGGACCCCACAGTGGGTTTCCTGGTCTCCAGAAGCCCATGGACACGTATCGGACGCATGCTACCCTGGTAAATCCTCCTCTTGCACCACTGTATGCTACATGGGTCCCTGCAAAAAGCACCTCAAGAATCCCATTGATAAATTCTGCTCACCTGTTGTTGCATATTTGCCATCAGAACGTCACCCTGGACGTGTTTAGAGAAAGTCTGCGTCTTAGAAAAGAGATTATAGGACATGTAAAAATGTAATCACTGGGCACATCTGCACTATCCACACATATATTTATTTGTTGTTTACTTAAATTCACTTTTTTCTCTTCCTTACACTCGTCCTTTTAAAGGCAGCTAAACATACAAGCAACAGAGTAAATTACTGTAAAATGTGTCAAACTGAAACTGTCCAGGCTGGATTTCTGAGGCTGAAAGACTCTTTCCTAAACAAATAAGAGTTCCATCAAACCCTGGTCTTCCAACTGAGAGGGCCTTTTTGCCTGGTACTGACAAACATAAATACAAACTGAGAATTGGCATCTCCTGCAAAACTGCAGTGTGAATGCTTAATGCTGAAAGGTGTTTGCTAAATACCCCCAAAAAAGCTGAAACTAGCCTAAACCTAGCTTAAAAAGTAGCTGAAATTGAAATTAGCCCAAAGAAACAGAAAGAACTCATGTTTGCTGATTTAATCTGTAAGAAGCTGATATGATCCCAAATAACAGTTTAGCTGTAAAAAGCTCAAATTAGCTAAAAAGTAGCTAAAACACAGAAAGCATCTGAAAGAAACCTAAAATAGCAGAAAGAAGTTGATAGAGGTATAAAGTGAAAATTAGCAGAATAACAGAAAACGTAAAAAAAACAAAAAGGCAGAAAAAAGCTAAAATCAGCAAAAGAGAAGCCAAAGGAAGCTGAAATTAGCACAAACAAGTAAGAAAAGTCTGAACAGAAAATAAAAAGTGCAGCTATTTTTTAAAGATTGTTGGAAACAGTTTAATTAATTTTCAATAAGAAAAATCATGTCAGAAGAAGCTAAATATCTCAAAGCATAAATTGCTGAAATATCAGAAGTCATAATGTCCTGAAGGAGCAGAATGTTTTGATTTATAAATTGTTGAAACGGTACACAAACTGTAGACAGAGATCAATACCAAAAACATACAGAGGAAAAAATGATCTCAGTAACATGAAATAAACAAAAATAAAATCTGCTGTTTTAGAAAAGAACTCTTCAGCTAATAAAGATCTTAGCAGTGTTTTTCTACAAACAAACCTTTGTGTCACATGGTGTCATGAGCTGTATGAGTTTAACACAGTCTGGTTGATTATTTATAAACCTTTGAGCTGTTGGAGTGTCATGGAGTCACAGAGCCCCCCGCGACCCTTTGCCCACATCCAAGAGGACGATTTTAACTCCTGTGTGCGAAACCTGCAGTGTTGTGTTTCAGTCTCCTGTCAGCACACTGTAGGTTTTACTGGTTAGGGTAGTGCCAGTGGAGGGAAAGGTAAAAGGGCAACGGGGTGCAGGAGGAGCTGGATGTCTTGGCATCTTTATGAATAAGGGCTAAAGGGAGTTCCCACTCTGGAGGCCGTTTTTTTATTTTTATTTTTATTTTTCACTTTTGTGTTGCTTGTGAAATGAACCGAGCCATGATTTTCCTCTGTGGTTCTCAGCTTCTCCTGTTTAATTCTCCCTGGGGTCTGCAAAACACGAGCACGTCACATGTTCAATTCATTTACTGCAGTCAGGTGGGGATTAGCAGGTCCTAAGAGGACACACAGTTCATATCAACGATTTCATTCCATCCGTGTTTTAAAAATGTAAATATGTTAGACGCTCAACATCCTTAAAGGCTTTTAGGTTTGATAATCACTGAAGTCATGTTTCATCAGTTTCCAGATGTTGGAGGCTCAGAAATGGGTCAGGCAGGATGTTGCATGTGCAGACTGAGATGCGTTTCCTCCGTTTTGTCATCAGAGACGGGGTGTGGGTGGGGGGTGGTGGGTGCAGAGGAATGGTCGGTATGCTCTCCCCACATTACCATCATTTCAGACGTACTGCTGATGAGCGCAGCACACAAGAGGAAGCGGGCGAGCCCTCCACTGAAAAAGCTGTGGGGGCAGGGCGACGAGTCGAGCGAGCCTCTCATTGGTCGAGCAGCAACACACCACCCTTATCAGCCAATGGCGTCACGGCGGCGAGCTCTGTGGATTTTTTTAAATAGTGAGGAATCTGAGGTTACTGCAGTTCAGATATCACATGAGACAGGCTGACTGCTGCAGAGATACAAGCCACAGACATTAGCTTATTACCGTAGTTATTACAAAATAAATAAACAAACTATAT